AATGGCAGAATTGTTTTAAGCTATCTGTCAGCTCTCCCCCAAAAGGATATTACTGAAATACTAACAAGTTAGGGTTTCAAATCTCTCATTTTACAGATGCTAAAACTGAGGTGCAGAAGGTTAAGAATCTTGCCCATATCATCATACTTTTTTCATTCCAATGTCTGCTCTGCCTCTGCCTAGTCCCATGAAAATCTATACATTTGTATAACTTTTTTGGAATAAGCATGAAACATCAGGGGAAGGGGGAGAAAAAGATATAGTGTCAAGCAAGTTCAGAAAAGTGTTGATGGACACTAAGATTCTTATGGGTGCAAAGAAGATGCTAGGAAATCTGTACTCAAGGCTGGATGTTGTAACAGAACTGCAACAGAACTGTAGCCTATGAAGGAGAAAGAATGGCTAAAGGGAGGATGAACACTGCCTTCTGCTAGACAGTTGGTGCCTTGACTCAATATTATGGGTGTCTTCCCTGGGTCTTGGAAGCGTCCAGTGTGTACCCACCACTCACGTACAATTCTTTATTCCATACCTTCACTTTGCTATGAGCAGTGCTTTGCACATCAACTAGGATCCCCTGGGCTACCTTTCTAGATCATCCAGAAGCTGCATTCAAAAGTAGAAATGTAGTTCTTGGATCTGAGGGAGGCTGGGTAAATTTGACAGAACTCAAGCATGTTTAATCAACATTAGGTCTTCGGTGTTCTTTAACTATTAATATTAGGCAAGTTATTCTAATAACGCTCAGTATACCAGGGGAAAAAAAGTCATCATTTAGGATCTGGGTTCAATAAACTTTTTTTATTTTTATTTTTTATATTTTAAGCAATTTTATGAGTGCTTTTATAGAAGAGTAAAGGGATAGTGAAAAACATTATCAGAAAGTTTAATAATAAATTAAGCATTTAAAAAAAATTGCCTTGGAGTTGATTCCATAGTAAACCTAAAATTTTGTTATTTATTATTAACTCATAGCGACCCTATGGGACAGAGTAGAACTGCCCCATAGTGTTTCCAAGGAGCAGCTAGTGGATTCCAACTGCTGACCTTTTGGTGAGCAGCCAAGCTCTTAACCACTGTGCCACCAGGGCTCCTATTTCAGAGGTACATATACACAAAAGGACAAATAGCCTCTGAAGGCAATTATCATGTTCAATTATCATGTAATCTGGTACACATCCATCTTGTAAATACTGATTTCAAATACGTCTCTGATAGGTTCTAGATCATCATTACTTCTGGTTGTTCTTCTTGCACTTGCAACACCAAAACGAAATCCTTGAAAAAAATTTTGGAACTTTTGAAGGCTCATAATTTTGTCGTGGAAGGATGACCATCTTCTTTGCCCCAAATTACAAAATATTTTTAGATTTAGAAACATCTATTAGGATAAATCCTATGAGTTTAAAATTTCTGTATCTTCGTTTCCTTCCAGTTATCTTTGATACACCCCTGCCTTCATCATTTGTCCACTGGTGAACCATATGGGGTACATTTTGGTGCATAAGCATCGTAAGGGATGAAAGAATACTGTCATATGTCCTTTCAGAAAAACAGGGTAGTCAGGTCATTGTCTCAAAATATTACATGGTGAAATTATTACTGTTAAATGACTAACTGAATGAACAATATCTTTTTTATCCTTAGAACAATATTGAACAATCGTTGAACCTTGTGTTTGAGAAAATTCACTTAGGATATCATCATATTGAGTCTGTAATTTAATTTACTTTTTAAAAAAGCACACAATTCATTTTCATGCAATTATCATAGGTTTTGTTGGACCCTTTTATAAATCTAAAACACATTAAGGAATGCAAATGGTTACAACTGTAACAAATGATTACAACTGCTCACAACAGAAAATCCAAAACTAAATTTGGGTCCAAAATGCCGTATTATAATGGCATTATAATGGCAAGAATTATGAACATCATTAGTCACTGATATACTAATGATGTTCATAATTCTTTAGTTTTCTTTTCTTCAAATGGGCACCATTCTAGCAACAATTTCATTTTTTGGAATCCATTTCCTATATTTTTAGGAATAAGAATTGGAATCTGTTGCTACTCCTCATTCATGCTGAGCCTACGTTGCCTACACGACTCTGTGGGTATCTTCATAATGTGATTACATCTATCAATCAGAAAGCAAGCTGGCATCTTTAAATGCTGCATATTATCTATGTTAGTCTGTTAAGTTCTTTATAAGTCTAAGGTATTTTCATGCCATCTAATGTACACTCATAAAAGAATGAACTTTCTCATTTCTTTAAAAAAAATTAGATCATCTAAAGATAATAAATATTTTATTGGCCGAATCAACGTATATAATTGCAAAGGTGACATTTAACACTGTGCTTTTAAGGAATCATGACTGCATCACAGCCCACTGTCTGCAATGTCATTCCCACATACCAACTGGTGTTGAGTTGATTTCAACTTATGTCGACCCCATGTGTGTCAGAGTAGAACTGTGCTCCATAGGGTTTTCAGGGGTTGATTTTTCGAAAGTATATCACCAGGCCTTTCTTCCAAGGCACCTTTGGGTGGACTCTACCTCCAACCTTTCAGTCAGCAACTAAGGACTTTAACTGTTTGCAGCATCAGGGACTCCTTTGTTCCCACAAAGAACTGGAGCGATCTGCCTCTTACTCTCACAGTGCTGAGAAGGTATAGCTGAACATCATGGGAAGCTCACTGAGGTAGACATTAGGAGTATCTGCAGTCTAGACCCTGTTCTAAATTAAACTCTTTCTGGCTTCAAGCAAGTGATTAAACCCCTGAGGGTCTCATGCACCAAATGATGATACCTTCCTTGTCTTTCCTACTTCACAGGTTGGCTAAAATATGAATGATTATTTATTCTGGGTAGAAAAGCATCAATACTTGAGCTTCTCTAATGTTTCTCTCAGTGTCTCATCCTCAATAATACAAATGAGGCCAAAGGACAGACAGACACACACACACACACAGACACACACACACACGACACCAAGATAATACCATTTCTCATTATGTTTTTATTTATCGTCTTTATTTTATTGCATGTCCTGGCAAATATAAGTGGCTTGTTAGATTTGCCTCTGGCTCACCGAAAGCCCATAATGCAAAATACCAAAAGACAAGCAACTGGAAGCTTAAAAAAAAAAAAAAAAGTATCACATCTATAAGAAAGAACCTTTCAAAAAGCATATAAAACTTTTGACATTTGCATAACTTTTTGTACAATTATAAAAATAACAATAAAAAAAATACAACCCTTTAACATTCAACATTCCACATCCTGCATTTTAGAGGAAGCTCAGTGAAACAAAAGACAAATGGATTTAATGAAGAAAGTTCTGTTCTCCCTTTCTGTTTATAACCACTTCCAAAGAAAAACCTTCCCCTTCTTCAGCTGACTGCATGGAGCTGAGGCTGCAAGAACTCCATTAAGCCTATTCCCACTTGTTCACTCTTAACACGCTTTCAGCCCTGATCCTACATACTCATACACTCAAAGAGTAATTTGCCACCAGGATGCGTGGCCAGTAACGGTGCTGAGCCTCAGCGAATGCTAAACCCATGAGATACACTGCAAGAATTTCTGAGTGCCTCGTGCTGCATCAATAGTGCTGATAGAGTTCAGAAGAAGTCCTACAGGGCTTATCAAACACTTAGGGCAACAGAGGAAGCCATTTGTCCTCCTGGCATTGCCAAGGTACAGCTTTGACTCTTACCCTTGAATGGGTTTTCAAAGTTGCATGCTTCTTCCACAAATAACAGTACTTATCATTTAAGCGCAATAAAAATGTTGAAATCAAGGACTCAACTCTCTTTAACATACAAAATTAAAAAAATAATAATAAAAAACAACTCCCCCCATCTTACAATAATGGCCTTATTTTTTCATTTGACATTTTATTCTTACTACATGATGGTGTTTCCATAAAAATATAAAAACAATTTAAAAAAAAGTGGCGATTGTGGTTCTGGAAAAGCCACCAACCCAAGGAGAAACAAACAAGTATGCAATTCACACGCAAAATATATGTACACTTTTTAGATGAATCTCGTACATTACATTGCAGAGCCAAATTAGCCCTTTTGCACATTAAAACAAAAATAGCGGCTTATGTGCAATGATAACTCTTTACCAAAATGTATGGGAGGATTTCAGAGCTCATTGGAATATATACAGAATAGTATTTTTATAGCTTGAAATAAAAATAAAATATTGCTACAAGGTATTGTTTCTGAAAAGTCTAGGAGAATGCTATCATTTCCATGTTTTCCCTAAGTTGGAAGACTAGTTACCCCATCTATTTTAAACCTGAAAGAGATAAAGGTAAACAAGCCTCTACATGCAGAGATTGATAAAATAGGAGGGTCTTTAGAAGAAATATTTACCAAATAATATTGTCTCTGTTTCAAAATGTTTTTGGTGAAGAACCTCAATTCATGGTTTGCTGAGATCTCTTACTGTTTAGCAAAGACTCAGAATTTCGGAATGGTTTTTGTTTTCCTTGGATATTGTTAATAAGCAGTACAACTTCACTGTAAGAACTAGACAGATGGCATTCATCCCAAGCAAATCAACCTTTATCCTAATAAGAAGAGCAAATGTGTCATTGAGTTAGTCAACCGAGTAGTGAAACTGAGTTTAAAGGCTTCAGTAATGGCAGCAAATGTTTTCCCAACAAATACTAGGAGAGAAGGTATCTTGTATTAAATTTGAAAGGGTTACTAGTACACCCAAATACAAGATACTACATGTCTGAATTGGCTGCCACAGACCTTTTCAGAATTTTGTCCATGACCCTCATCCACCGTTCCCAACCAAAAACAGAATAGGATGTGTCATTTCCTCTAGTGTGAATGACTGTGTGAATATGGACTTTCTCTTGTTATTGGAGAAAATAACCAAAAAGAGAACCACCATCACTAGTAGGGATATCAGTAGCATAGAATACACCAGTATAGAGAACCGTGTGCATATACAGACAGGCTCACCCACATTGTAAAGAATGGTAAGTATAATTGAATTTAGACAAAAGTTTGATGTGGCATGGTTTTAACATCAAAAACCCAAAAGGACCTATATGTCATTGTCACATGTATCATGAAGCTCTAGATACCTATTACCATATATGGTAGCCCTTGAGAGTAGGAACATAAATTAGCTAGCCAAAAAGAGTAAAATAAAAACAAAGTAAGTCGATAAGTGCAACTCAATTTCTTTTCCTTTAAATTACATTTTAAACAATATTCAATGCCCCCCACCCAAAAATATATACTGTATATTTATATATTTATATATAGTCTTAGACTATAAGAGTGAAAATGCTTTATAAAAGTCAATGAGAGGTCTCTGCAGCTTAAGGAGACACCCACTGCTTTTTTGCCCACTTCTACCTAGCCTTGGCAGCTCCAGTCCTGCAAGCAATAGATCTGAAGGCTTAGAGCCAGAAATGCAACCAGACGCCAGGCCAGATGTTAGCATTAGGTAAGAGGTAGCCTCTTCTGTTTCCCTTAAGAGATCAGACTAGTAAGAGGAAGGAGTTAGGGAGAATGCTTTGAAGATCAAGCAGTAGTGCTTTGTAGAGGGGTGGGCAGATAGGAAGAGGGTAGGAAGAATCCACACAATCGGGCTCACTCCCCCTCTTCTTTGATGCGCTGCTGCTTGTTGCGACGAGCGTCCATGTCAAAGTTGAAGTCATTCCACTCGTCACGGGGTGGGAAGGAGATGGTCTGGCGGAGGGTGAAGCGCACAGCATCAATAACACGCTCGCCCCGGGTCTCACTGGAGCCCACACTGACTGTAGAGGCACTGCTTGGGGTCCGCAGGAGGTGGGGAGGAGAGGAGAAGTCGTGGAGCTGCCGGTGGTCCAGGATGCCCTTCCAGATGGCATGGCGGAATTGCTCAGGGATTTTTAGACTTGCCAAATCCTGTGGAGGGAGTCAGGGAGAATTAGGACAAAGAGACAAACCAACATTTAGGCCACATCATCTTGTCATTCCCCTGTGCTCTGGTTTAACTGACCTGAATTTACTGACCCCTACAATGGAAAATAAAATCAGCTCTCTGATAGCCCTTAATGTTACATGTGTCTGAACACAAATGTATAACCTTGAGGTGCCATCACTGCTTCTGGATAACACTTCACTTATTCTCTACTGGCCTTGGTTCCTTCATTGGTAAAAATGGGGATAATAGATTAGAAGGCAGAAATTCCAAACAGAAAAATAAGGTGAAGATCTCTTCAGATTCTTAACATCTGCCTAGCTCTAGTCACTAGAAGAAAGGTATTAATGGGATGTCAGCACCACTGGGTGGGATGAGGGGATGAAAAGAAGAAATTACTGACAGCTATTGAGCACTTTCTATATGCCAGGCACTGAGCTAATTTATTTATATTCATGATCCTATTTGCTCCTCAGATTAGTGGTAGATACTCTTACATCAGTTATGTTGGCAGAGAAACTGAAGGTCAGCGAGGTTGACAAGTCTAAAGTTACACAACTAAGTGAATGAATTGAAGACCCAGGACAGCTACTGAGACCATGCTTTTTCTAAAACTGCCAATAGTGGCCAAATGGTCTCTTGGTGTTTGGATAAACCTGGGTATCAAAATGCAAAGCAGTTGTGTCAATGTTCTATGGATGGGGGTGGAAGGCATTGCAAAAAGATTCAGTCTTAACTAACTGTGGTGGCATCTCTTAATTTCTCTACATTAGCTTTTCATTAGCTTGTTTCAATGACAGCTCACATTTTTTGTGCGGGCAGGATGGTTTGGTAGAAATTGCACTGTGCTTGGAGTCAGAAGATGTTGACAGAGGATCCTACTGATGCTGACTGGCTATAGACCGTCAGCAAGTCACTCATTCTCTACTTGCTCCAGTGGTAAAATGGGGATGCCATTCCTTTTTAGGTCAATACATATTGTGGGTACACATTTAAATATGGATATGAAAGTATTTTGTAAATTATAAAACATACTACAAGAATCTAAGTTTTATTACTACTCTCTATTATCTTTGCACTTTATAGGGGATACTTCTCAAAATCCAAAAATTTAACCATATTCCTTTTCCAGGAAGGAATGCCAGATAACTTAGACCGGTGCTGAGAGACAAGCTGAGAAAGAGGTGTCTGTTTCCAGTAATGAGCAGGAAGAAGCTGAGGTGAGATGAAGAAACTGGAAAACATCCCAGCACTTCCCAACTCAGATAGCTGCAATATGGTGCCATCTTCTTCCATGATGTGAATGAACTGAATCCTCAGGTCCTTAGAAATATCCCCAAGTTCCTATTCTAGCAGAAGAATACACTCTAGGAGATAATCCACAAAAAGAGACCTTTGCATAGTTCTTGATACTCCTGAGACTCTAGGGTCACCATTTCTTCCAAGAAGTCCAAAGCTCCTTGCAAACCAGACTTTAATAATCCTTCTGATGGCTAGACAAATTGTGACTGGTGACTGACAGATGAGAAACCTGTGGCCCAGAGACTGGCATAAGACCCAGTAAACACGAGCAGAGATGGACTTGTGACGAGTGCCTTCAGATCCTGACAGCCAAGGGAATATCTTGACACATTCCTTAGTAGAAAGCATAATTTAAAAAATATGGGGAAGGGCAGATTCCATGTTCTGTCAAGCTGGATTCTGCTACAGGAGGCTTCCACTGTTTTTTCAACCATGGGGCCACACTGTTCCCTTCATTTCTGTGATGGTAAAGTTATCAGAATCCTGTTGGAACTTACTTCTAAAGCTTTCTCTAGAATTTTCGCTCATAATTTATTCCATCAAGGGGCAGCAGCCAAGGATGATTCATGGGGTGGAGAGGGGGTGGGCATAGGCTCAGCACAGCATATACTGGTCACCAAAGGGCTGGGGCATTCTCATGCTGAAGGGGCATCTCTAGCATCGGTGCTCAAGGAGGGGGGAAAAGAGATCCCAAATACAGAAGCAGCAGCAGAAGAAGAGAGCATCTTCTTCCACCAGTCCAAAGCACCCTTAGGAAGCTGGAAGAGAGGACAGTAAACCCCAAAGAGCAGCACATGAAGAGCAGCCTGGGAGGAAAATCAGATTGCTGTAAACCAAAGCAAGACTAGCACTTATGTAAGTAGTAGCTCAAGAAGAGAAATTGGAAGCAAGAAAAAGTTCTCACCCATCCAACTTGTTTCACAAGACAAACCAAAGAATATTATAGCTGGAAGGGAATGCTTTTGACTCTAATTTGGTTAACTGAGGCCCAGAGAGGCAAAGTGAAGTGATAATCCTAAGTTCTCGTAGCTACTAAAAAGGGTCATGGGCTCTGAATCCATGACCAGTGATCATTCTTAGTGATCAGGGAGGAGCAGCTCAATCCCCCTAAAGGTCTGACTTTCACGAGAAGCAGAAAAGGCCATTAATAGAGTAATAGGGTAATAGGCTAGAAGCTTATAGCCCAGGGATCTTCTACTCCTGGTTCTGTCATCACTCAACATGGCAAATGACAATATTGTCATTGCTCCATATTTTTTAAGTGAGAATAACACCACCTGTTCCCTGCTATCCTCCCTGAATCTTATATGACTTAATGAGAGCATTTGAAAAATTCTCTTAATTCTTTAGAAATTATGTAACTTTCTTGAAGGTGGGAAGTATGTCCTCTCTTTCCCATTCTGCGCACCGTAAGAATACAATAAACAACTGCTGACTGATTAGGTGGCCTGGTCATTTTTCTAATATGGTTCCATGAAAATTGAGAATTAAGGGTACCACGATGACAAATTTTAAAAAACCTGGAGAAACTGAACCACAAGGTGGATGTCACTAGAGGGAGGAAAGGAAGAAACAAAACTCAAGAGAAATGGCTAACAGTTACTTACATCCATGGAGTAATGCTCAATCTGATAGATGGTGGTCAGCCCCTGGGTCGTGAAATAGTCCAGACATGATGAACAGCCCAACCTTGCTAAGAAACTGCAGAGGGAGGAGGGAGGAGGAAGGAAGAAACAGAAAAAGAAAGTTCACCCCAACTGCATTAGCGAGATAAAGGAAAACCCAACATTTTGCCATTGGATGCCCTAAAGAAGAGACTAGGGGCATATAAAATATGTGTGGGCCTTGGATTTGAGGTTTGGAGATGACTGGTCACTTAAACTTCCGGTGCAGATGCTAAAATCAACTATAAGGATTCCTGCAGAGCATTAGTTTTCCAATGGAGATCTGTAAAATTCTAGGGATTTTTGTGTTGAGCCATTGCAGAGGGTGAAAGGAAGGAGTAGAGAAGCTGGCCCATTGCCAGTCCTTTTGCCTCCTGGCTCTTCACTTCAAAAAGAGAATCATTTCTTTTAATTGTTTTATGTTTTGGGTATCTGTGTATGGATCATGTGATCAGGAAAAATTACAGGCCACTACTCTATGAAGTATTAATACTTTTTGATTTATGTCTTCAGAGTACAGATTCCTTCCTCCTTGGTGCTGGTCTCAGATGGATGCTGCCACCATCATCAGAGAGCCAGATCCTGGGGGGGATAAGTCATGCACTTTGGCCATCTCTGTGACTGGCACCTACTAGCACTGCTGCATTGGTCGCACGGGGGTCAACACAAATCATTCCAGCAGCCAAAGGAAAGAACCATTCTGCACGTGAAGCAGAGGAAGATGTGCACTAGGCATCAGACGTGTAGGAAACAGATGTTTCAGGCTTCATACATTTCTTTCTTCTGGCTACCTGAAATTCCCTTGCCTGAAGTGTACCCACTTTCTACATGGCCAAGGAGTAGAGATCATCAGATTCGGGAGAGTCCCTGTCGTTTTTGTTAACGCTGAAATCGTTTTATGGAAACCTAATTCCAAAATAATTGTGCCGTGGTGGCTGGAAGCTATGAGGCCTAGAGAGCAGGAGAGGGAGCAAGATAGCAAGTTCATTGCCCTTTTTGGAAACCCAGCCCTGAGCACCAATTTGAAGACCACAAAGGACGGTGTAAAAATGTGAGGGAGGAGGAAGGGAGTAAGTGAAGATGAGAGAAACAGGCATGAAAAACTATATGCCTATAAACACACATTTTCACTTTTTCCCATGCTGATCATAGTAGTTTTCTTTGATTAAACAATGCTGACCGCTCTGTAGATGAGAGAGAATAATAGTGGCTGTCCTTCAACCACGGACCTGCTTTCTTTTCTCCAGACTGTCTTACTAACTTTGACAGTGTCCACCCCCCACCACCCCGAGATGCTTAGTCCAGGCCCCCAGGGGCTCACCTGACGATGCTGCAATCTGTGGGGTACGGAGGGGGTGGGGTGCAGTGGGAGGTGGATGGCATGGCGAGTGGGGGAGGAAGGGCCTGGGTGGGGCTGAGTCCATTCATGTCTCCAGCCATAGGCATGTGGGTGCCCATCATAGGAACTGAACAGAAGCAGGAGGAACAAAGAGGGTTACTGCCGTCATCACATACCAGCATCCCAGTGGTCCATCTGGTCTGCTTTAACGTTACAAAGGGCCTAATCTATCAGCCTTTCTTTTCAATCTGTCTCTCATTACACCCCTTCACTCACCACATGTCTAGTCAGACAGAAGAGTCATCAAACTCCAAACTAATTACACACTTCTTGACCTTTGTATCTTCTCTTAGGACAACCTCTTCCCACCCCTTTTTCTACTTTCAATTCTCTGTCCAAATGCTCATTGCTCTTCAGGCTAATATATTCTGCTTTCTATTTGCTTTCATGGGTTCTAGTTCTGTCTCTCTCACTAGGCTAATCTCCTCAAGCATAGAGATTAGATCTTAAGCATGTCTAGACCCATGGAGACCCTAGCACAGTGCCTGGCACAGAACAGGTACTCAGTAAACGTATCTTAAGTGAGCAAAATGGTGAAAGGGAAACCTTCGAAATATTTATTTGGGAATGGGAGGATTTATTGCAATATTTTTAGGGAACCATAAGCCTAATAAGGAAGGAGGCAATTAAAGATTATAACTTTTTCTTATGGTCTGTTTCAAGATTGTATTCAGGAATAACACCAACACTGACTGGTATTTCACTAAATTATAAGCTGTAAACATTCTCTGATAAAGAAAGGCTTAATTCTAATAGTATTTATGAAATAAAGTTTGCTTTCAGATAAAAAAAACAAAATAATATATCTACAAATTTTTAATCTGCTTCTATTTTAGTGACCAGTAGTGTGCTGGAGGGGAAGGTCTCTGTCGCAAACTAGCTAACTAGTCAGCCAAAGAACACAGGCTTATCGAGTCTCCATCTGTTTCTCCCCTGACCTTCCTGACTACAAAAGAAGGATAGCTGTGAAGCAAAACAAAGAAAAAGTAGTAAATTGTTAATTATACGGAAATGTGAAGGATCGTCACCATTGCCGTGATTTTGTCATCTCAAGAAATAAGTTGAGGAGTCTAAGATGTCACAAGAAAGTAATAAATAAATAAGTAAGCTGTACCTATTTCTTTTAGTGTCCAAGTATCATGCCTGACAAGGGGTCAGGTTTTGAGGGTTAGGATTCATTTATCACTAGTGGGAGAGCCATCTGGCAGCTATCAGGTATTTGTTGCCACATCAGGCAACCGTGCCACATACTCCTCCATCTCATTAAAACATAGATATGCACCACTGGACCAAAGACAGTTGCTATCCTAGCTTTCCAAACACTTCTTAAATAAAACTCATTCTCTTCAAGGTAGCCCTGAAGTGTAAGTGAAAAGGCTTGATGAACATAAGGAGGAGTTTCAAAGGACAAGACTGAGGCACTGGTTTTTGAAATACAAGATGTTAGCTGTGCAGTGTTCAGTCTTCCACGTTCCTGAGGATACTTTAGATGCCTCTGCATTCGTACCATCATCTTTGTCTTTCATATTTGGGTATTCACTTTGCTCAGTTTAGTTCTAGCATACAAGATAATCGCATTTATAGCAAAGCTGTATGCCAATCATCATCCATTTGGAGGTCCAATTCTCACATTATGTCTCTTATGGTTGTATTTAGTTGATATGAGTAATTTATATGTGTATAAGTGAAAGGGAGAGCCTTTTCTCTACATGTCCATTCCCAGTTGACTGTGTAAGGGATGGAGCAGACTAGTTGAGAAGGCCAAGGTTGTAGGAACGTAGAATCGTAAAATATTAAATGTGCAAACTGATAATTTCACAGATGGAAAACTGAGCATTAGAGCAGAGAAGTGACTTGTCCATAGTTACACAGCTAATTTTGCAATAGTGTCTAGACTAAAATCTAGTTCTCTAAGTTTTAAGTTCACCACACCATGCTACTTCCCACATATTGGATACCTTGCCTTTCAACTATCTCAAAGGTTGGCAGAAGGTGGAGTCCCAACTAGGTTGTTCTTTTCAAAGAGATTATTATCCATACTAAAATAACAGCCTTCTCTATTGCTAGCAGTATGCTTTGGAATGAAACATACATCTCAAATGTAAGAATATCACTATGAGAAACCCAAGCCACTCAACTTCTGTCTAATCTGTCCCACTCTGTCTCTCACTTAGCTTAAGAGCAGGCCTTTCCCCCATCCCAGAGCACAGTTTCTGCCTGTACTAGCCCTGATGGTCCTTCAGCTGCAGCTACAGGGAGATGCTCTTACTGTTGGCTCCCATGCCATCAGGAATGGTGGTGGGCGTGAGGGTGTTGCGCTGCTGAGGGTTGATAAGCTGGCTCACGGAGGGCAGCTTGTTCATGCTGTTCATTTTGTTCAGAGGTGGGGAGCTGTTACCATATGAAGACTGAGACTGCATCGAGGTCCTAGGAACACAAACATGGGAATGATGGTGAGCACGGAACACCGACGAGGGGGGACTGTTCTTTCCCAATAGCTCTCAGTTTAGAACATGGTCTAGAATGTACATTTGCAAAAACAGTCCTCCAGGAGTAATGATAAGAAGTTGTTTTGGTTTCCATCTGGGAATATTTCCTAACTAAGGAGGGATAGCAAGCCTATTATATTTTTCCTGAATATGTAGAGTACAAAGTTGGATACTTTCCTTAAGCACTCCTTTGTGAAGGGAAAATAATTGCATCTTCTTTTTTCTTCTATTATTTCGTCCATCACTCTCCTCTTTCTTGCCCTTCGACTCAAGCAAGTTTGAAAACCAGTAAGGGAGGAGAACTGAGCAAAGACCCAATGATTTATGAAAGACATGGATATGCCAAGCTCAAATTGCAGCTGAAGCATTCCATCTGGAGCTTCCTAGGCCATTTGGGCTATCAGAAAAGTACTGCAAGACCAATCCAACAGGGCATTTGGCTACACACCCTGAGGTCATGCAGAAGCCTCAACTTGGAAATATGTTTCTCAGCTGAGATGTTCATGGGCTACGACAGAACCCATTGGAATGCCAAGAGCCTCTCTACACAGGAGAACCCTGGAGCCCAAACAACTGTTCTGTTCACTTCCCACAAGTCTCCTGAGTGACAAAGAAAAAACAAAAACAAAACAGTTTTCTATTCAGCATTGGAAATTGAGTTCATCATATCATGTATTTATACATTATATGAAGATGATATTCCCTGTTCAATGCCATTCCAGATCTTTTTTTTTTTTTTTTTTAATATAGAACTAGTGATGTATACTAGAAGGAAGGCAGGATTCAGAGTTAGAAAATCAAGGTTTAAGCCTGCCCTGCAGTACGTATTAGGAGGGTACAGGTCCCTACGCAAGCCATTTAATATCCCTGCCTCAGTTTTTTCACAAGAAAACTGTATGTAAGCTCTGCACTTACTGTCTGAGTTAGATGTTAGAGCTAGGAAAACTAAGATATAGCCCCACCCTTAAGATGCTCAGTGGGAATAATTATCCAACCTACCTCATAGGGCTGCGGTGAGAACTGAAGGAGACAGGATGAGGTAGAAGTTTATAAAGTATAGAGCATTTACAACGAGTAATTACTGTGACCACAGAATGAAGACTGGGCTTTAAGCATGTTTCTCATCTGTGGTGGGAAAAGTTCCCCTCTTACAATCCTCAGAAGTTCCTGGGTGGCACAATGGTTAATGTGCTTAATAGCTAACCAAAAGTTTGGAAGTTCCAGTCCACCCAGAGACGTCTCAGAAGAAAGAGTTGAGGGTAGAACTAGGTCTCCTGGCTCCTAGTCCAAGAGTTCTTTTGTTTCTTTCTTTCATTTTGTAACACCTTCTGAGAAATAAGATTGTAGTGTGTAATAGGTTACAGAATCAGGAAATGGGTAAAGTAGTGAGAGAAATGGGGGAATCTGATTTACGGCAAGGAATAAGGGCTGTAATAAAGGGACCTAGGCCAGCGATTACTCAGAGACTTCTGAATTCACACTTCCCGCTGGTATAGGAGCTTTGCCTAAGACTCAGTACATTTGGATCTACTTAGGAACATCGTAAGTCTACAGAGAAGCACAGGGCAAGGCAGCAAAGGGATGCCTTGCCAGCTGCTGCTGCTTCTAACTAACTTTGCCCATTACAAACTATCTTAAAGATGCTAGGTAGCTTTGACTCAAAAGGCAGGTTGGTACTCCATAAGGTAAGAGGCCTCCACCTATCTCTCCTGTTCCCCGAAGTGTATAGCAAGAGCTAACGGAAAGCATTGCTTGAACCATTAACGTCCACCATTAGGAAAAGAATACATTAAAGAGCTTTGCATTTTCCGTGGACCCTCAGTTACAGTAAATGCCTTCTTCCAAATCCTGTAACAACTTCATTCTAGCTTTCCCTCTGTGGTCTTTATTTTTGACTTTTTATATTTCAGATATTATTTTTCATTATAAGGTACCTCAAACCATTTTTGAAGAAAGTAGGTCACAAACCACAGATGAACAAAGAAGGAACATGGGTTTTGGGTCAACCAACATCTAGGTTCAACTTCTGGATCTGACACAAATTAATTAAGTGACTTTGGATGTTATGCAAGTCTTCCAAGTGTCGTTTTCTTAACCTGTACAACAGGCATTATACTACTCTAGAAGAATTGCTATGAAGATTAAATGAGATCGTGTAAGAGCCCTGGACATCGGTGACTTGCAGCTGCTCAATAAATCTTAATTCCCTTCACTCTTCCCATCTCAAATATTTAATGCTCTAGTTCCTGGTCAAGCGGATAAGCAGTCTCAGTGCAAGAACTAACAGGAGGAAGAGATCAAAGGTGGCACAGATTCTTAATTGAGCAAATCCAGAAATTACGGTGAGGCAATGAAGAGGGATAACAGAGTCTGAAAAGGTCAGGAATTCTGAATGCTTCTCCCTTAATGTAGAAGTGAGTTTCAAAGCCATGAGCAGAAGGCCAGGGTTGTCTGTTCATTATTAGGTCTGCAATGTCAGAAACAGAAGGGACATTCTGTTGACTCTTGTGCACTGCGGAAGAGGGAGCCAAGCTGAGTAAATGTGTGAGCAATTTAGAGGCCTTGAAAGAGAACCATGTTTTTCCTTTGCAAATATAATGGCATAGTCTTACGTGAACATGCCCAAAGATTTCTGGGGAAGCTGAAGGGATGAGAAGTGTTCAAGGGGAACAGGAGCTGTACCTTCCTGGTTTTCTTATCTTCCTCCTTACCTACCACCCTAAAAAAATGAAATGGAAACACAGCTTTCCTGTGGAAAAAATAACAAAGTCTAAGCCTCAGTATGTTTTCCCTAGAGGCTGACTAGATTTTTCTAGGAATCCAATGTTACAGAGATATTGCAAGGCACTTTCAGGTATTTTTAGTTTGAAGAGAAATCCTGGTGAAGCCAAAATCCAGTTGGAAACTAACAATTTAGGCTTCTATATACACCACTAAGAATAAAACTCAAAATTTCAGAGCTGAAAGGGGTCTGTAGCTCATCCAGGATTAGAAATCATGTTTCCTGGTTCCGGATTTATGTGGTAAAAAGTCAAAATACTTGAGAACACAAATTCGAAGTCATCTCCTCCACCTTCCAGGAGATGCCTACGATTCCACCGAGGGATTCTTTTTATTTATAGTTTTCACTGTCAATTAAAATGCAGTGCTCTAGCAGAATCTGGTGATACCTCAAGGTAAATCCATTTCACCAAATCATTTCTGGAATGCAGGATTTCATAGAGAAAAGGGATGTGGAGTGTAGAGCAGAATACCTGTGGCACGAGGAAAGTCACAAAAAGGGAAGATGTGGAATATCAGAAAAATAATTGTATCTCCTTTTAAATTGTACCCAGAACTGCCTGTAACCTTTTCTCTCTAGCTGGGTAATCCTACTTCTAAGACAAAGGCTTCAGTTACTTTCTAGTTAGGTTAACTGTAATTTTCAAATATTTTGCATCATTTTGAATACGCGCCTTTATACAAAAGTCACTAGAAACCCATCAAAAACTTGTATAACAATAGGGTGAAAGAAAAAAAAAAAACTTGAAAGGAAAATCAAATATTAAAAAACTAAACATACTCACCAACCCTTTAAGGGATTTGTGAATCAAAGTTATTACATTAATTGAAAGCACTTTGCAAATATAACAAGGGAATCTGATTTTAATAACATACTTTTATCTCAAACATAAAGATATTTTTAAGTACTTCTGTAAGCTACTAGATTAATTATTTTTATGTAGAACAACTTTTAAAGCTTGTAAAAGGAATTACTGAAAACTCAAAACATAGTGTAATTTTTAAAAAGGCATTGGACAAGTTCCATTACCGATTTCTGGTTGAATATTGGCTAATGCCTACATCACGCAAGGCAAATGATTTGATAAATCTGGATTTGGTTTAAATCCCTTTTAGTAAATTTGTGAATTTAAGATACAACTTGAGGCTGGTTTGGAAATGTCAGTAAATGATACTATGGTGTCTGGCTCCCTATGACAAAATTAAACTTGCATAGGCCTAAAATATATTTTTAAGTTAGTTTGGGCATTGTGACTTATTCTTAGAATTGATGACATTGATGCAGAGTATCTTAAATTAAAACAATCATATACTGACAGAAGTGTAGACAGAACCAAAATAATTATTATTCGTGTTCTTTAGACTATACATACTTAAATGAGAATATTCTAGAACTTAAGGAAAACCAAAAAAAAAAAAAAAAGCAAGGGAGACAGAAAAGAAAGAAACTTCAAGATAAACAAGATGCAAAATTTTATTGAAAATTAAAATCACACATCCATAAAACAAGAGCCTCAATAACAAGAAAGTATTGCTACGGTGACACAGAGTAAAGAGCTGGTGATCCAGAATGGGGAGATGGGAAAGGAAGGATATTTTTACAGTCTTTGCACTATTGTTTTAAAATATGTCTTAAAAAAGAGAGAGAGAGGTTATCTAAACTCTTTGAGTTTAACAAAAAAAACCAGTTTACTTTTTCTGTCTTTAATTTCTAGGCCAGGTGTGTTGACTTCAGCATTTGTCCACTTGGACTTCACTTCATCCAAACATTAGTGTCCTGGACAAATGAGTTTAAGCAGAATCAATGACATGGCTGGGTTTATAATAGGATAGAGCGAATGGAGTTCCAATCGAACCAATTAGTCATAGATTTGGTGAGACAAGTTTACACTCCCTTTTGGACATTGAATAATAGTATATAAATGCCTGGGACAATATTGTTGGGGTGTTTTTTCCTCCTGTTAAAACCATAACATGTGTTTACCTGCCTGGGTCTAAACAACAGTTTTTGGAGTAGGTCTCCAGGGTTTCTATATGCAAGGAAGACTGTGCATCCTATCAGATGCTGACATATGGTGGCAGAGGTAGGACTGCGCACAGCACTAATGAACTTTCTACCAACCTAGGAGGGGAGCATACTAACAAGGAAAAGCTCTC